TCAAAACCGCACCGTCTACGATCCAGTCAGACCAGGCGGTCAATGCACCAACAAGTCACCCAGAAAATGCAACCTCAACACGTCCGATTCCAAATCCAACCAACAGGAGGAGATAATAGAGATGACGTATGCCAGGAGATCAGCTAAGCAACACCCAGTCAATCACCAACAGCCTCAGTCCAGAATGAGTTTTCCACCGGAACAGGAAAGGTAAGCGAGATGGTCGTCCAAATGCTAGGAGCATCCAAGCGACGAAACTCAACCCAACCAGGGGGAATGAAAAGAGGGTACCTTCTGGAAGGTTGGGCGACTTCGAAGGAAGCAACCCAGACGATCGAAGACCCAGCGATTTGAATTCCTGGCGGGCGAAGAAGACGCAACAGGGCTCGGCCAGATCTGGTGTCCCGTCCTCTACGCTTGGAGATATGGGAAATCCGTCGGCGAGGAGGGAGAGGGGGGTCCAAAGGTCCTCGACACCGGAAATCAGGTCCTCTGGCCGCCGGAATCAGCCGGAATCATCAGCAGCCGGTCGGATGAACAGTTCCTTCGAGAACCCCACTTGAGAGCATTCTGAGTGAACAGTACCCGCAAATTGGAGAAATGAAAAGTCGTGCTTATCAAGTTGTAGTTGAGTCCTTTTACCAATAACACATCATTGATTGTGAGTCCTCCAATCTCAACTGTTCCTTTACCAACTATCTTTCCTTTGTTATTTCCTCCAAAGGAAACTTTCCACCATTCAGGCTTTGTAGTTTAACGAACATGCTTGGATCTCCTGTCATGTGTCTAGAACATTCATTGTCTAGGTACCACTTTCTTTTTCTCTTTGTGGTAACCTACAAAAATCACAACCACTCAAGTTTTTTTTTGGTACCCAAATTTGTTTGGGTCCTTGAGAGTTAGTATAGGCTGTCTTAACAAAGTCTCTTCGAATTGGTCTCCAGACCTTAGGACATTCATTCTCAAAGTGCTGTGGATCTCCACATTTTGAGCACTTGAGTACACTTCGGCCAACATGTTTGACAAAGTTCCTTTTGAAATGATTTTTATAAACTTGTCTAGGAGGTCTTTGCCTTAATCTCTCCTTGACTTTTGGAAAATCAATTAAATTGTCACTTTCCTTCACAAATCCAAGACCAGATTTGTTGTAGTAAGGAATTTGTATAGAAAGAATATGCTTCAACGTTTCTGAACCTTTTGAAAATTTGGAAGTAATTTCTGAAAATTCCTTTTTCAAAACAACATTTTCTGTTTTGGGGCTTCATTATGGTCGCATGATTTTTGGGGCTTAATCACATTTGAAGTGATTTTCAAGGTTGATCATAACCAACATGTGTTTTTTTTTTGGGTCATATCACCATACGAAGTGTGATCATAAGATTATTGACATGATCGTGTGAAAATGATATTAGCCGGCCATATTATATGTCTATGTTGTAATTTACGGAAAGAAACATATGTTATATTCATGGCTATTTTGGGATTTATGTTATAGTTATCTTCATGGTACGTATTGTCACATCTATATTTATAAAGTTACATTGTTCGTTGCTTGATCCCATCGGAGTGGTGATTGTCACTTACTGATCATGATTTCGCTCACCAATTCTTTTTATCATTCCAAGTCATGGGTTCGAGGAATTGGCAAATGAGGACATGCTCTAGAGCATTATAGGGGACATATTACAATATTCATCTGATTTGAATAAATTCTATTAAACTGGGACTTGTGATATTTTTTTGGCAATGGTTTGGATTTGTTTTCTTCAATTTCGCGAGTACAAGTTTGGGATAATGACATCATAAATGTCTGAAATCTTTTAAAAGTAACTCAATGTGAGATTTCCATCAAAAGAATTGCAAAATTAGAAGATATTTGCTCGGTAGCTCGCCTACTCGATAAAAATTATTTCAACTCAATATCAAAGGAATTCAAAATTTAATTTCCTATTCCTATTCCTTTTCTTTTTTCCTTATTTTCTTTTTCTTGTTCTTCCCTGGTTCACTGTTGTAATATGACATTGTCGTAGTGATGATGCTGCCCGCTGTTTCGCCCGCCACTTCATCTGTCACATTGGGCCACCGTTCATCCACCGCCCCGCCGCTTCACTTGTTGCATCGCTATCATGCCTAGCGTGCGACCTCTTCGCCACCTTGGACCGAGCTTGCATTTCACCTCGACCTGCTCCACCTACAAACAGGGAAAATTGTCCAAAAAATCTTAAATCTATTGCATTTTTGCCAATTCAGTCTTAAACCTTTCAATTTTGCCAAATGAGTCATAAACCTTTTCACTTCTTGCCAATTGAGTCCATACAGCCAATTTTTGTCAGAAATTGCTGATATGATTGTCGACCATCCTATGTGGCGCTGATGTGGACAATTGGCATGTAGGCCGGCTTGCGTCCACGTCAGCGATTTTTGGTCAAAATTAGCCAGACGGACTCAATTGGCAAGAAGTGAAAATATTTATAACTTAATTGGCAAATTGAAAGGTTTAAAGCTGAATTAGCAAAAGTGTCAAAGATTTAGGACTTTTTGGACAATTTTTCTCCTACGAAGACGATCTACATCACGGTGGCAGTGGTGATGGTGCTCCAGGCGTCTTTTTTCTTTGAATGATTTAAATCTATATAGTAGTTTTTTGCATGACTAAGTGATTGTATTCTAATTACAGCGATACCGTTAACAAAGGCCACCCATCGGTCTATTTTTGGATGATGTACCACGTCGAAGAGTTGAAACGGTCGAAACCCTTGAGGCCGCACATATCATATTTTGAGTAGGATGCCCTAACTTCTTTAAACACCTTTCTGTTTTCTGGTCATGCTTTAAACACCTTGTTAAGTTGAAAGGGACATGAAGTCACACAATATCAACTTGCTCCAATTTTTTGTCCGAGGCAGAATCAATCTAATCAGCGCCACCAATCGGGCCATTTCTAAGGGTCAATCGTGTCACGGAATCGATATTAACCAGAGAAAAATACTAATCAAAAGTCAGTAAAATAATCTCGAAAGATGGACCCTCATTTCTTTATAATTAATCAATAATTAATTAACTGATCTTTTCGGGAGGAGCACGAGCGAGTGAAGATGCAGCACGTGGGGCGTGTTGGTTTGACCTGGAAAGGCGTTTTTGTATTTGTGACACGTCAAGAAGCCATCAATCGCCAACGACAAAAAAAAAAAACTAATAAAAGAAAGGAAGAAAGTGACAAAAAGCTTTAAATTATATTATTAATATCACGAAAAACCTCAAACTAATACATCTGTGACAATTTTACTCTGAATTAATTTTTTGATTACCAAAAACCTCAAACTGGTACATTTGTGATAAATTTACCCTCTATTAGTATTCATTAAATTGGATTAATATCACGAAAAATCATAAATTAGTAAACTTGTGACAAATAGAAGGGTAAAACCCCCAACTAGTACACCTGTCAACTACCACGGGTCATCAAACTTAGCAATTTGACAGTAAAATTTAACGGAAACTAACGGATGATAAATTTGTTACAAGTGTACCAGTTTGGGATTTTTTGTGGTTAAAAAATTAGTTCGGGGTAAAATTATTATATGTGTATCTGTTTGGGGTTTTTTATGGTCAAAAAATTAGTTCGGAGTAAAATTGTCACATGTATACCATTTTGGGGTTTTTATGGTAAAAAAAATTGTTCGGGGTAAAATTGTCACAGGTGTACCAGTTTGGAGTTTTTGGTGGTATTAACCCTAAATTATATCCATTGTGACACGTTTATCTTGTATTTTTTTCTCATGACATAAAAACCTCAAATTTGAATTTATGTGACTCGTCAGATAATTTTTCAGTCAAAATAACATCGTGTCACGTGAGCACCATGTCAACACTGTTTGTTTCCACGTAGGTAGATTTTTAATGGTTCTCAGAGGCAGAACTTTAACGGAGGGTAAATGTATTGGGATTTTTGGTGCCAATGAAAAAGTTTAGGATCGTGGACATAATTAGGTGTTTTCGGTGGTTTTTGCCCTAAAAGAAAAGAAGAAAATAAATAAGCCAACCAAAACTTGTGCTTTTGTTTTGCGGAATATTTGATTGCTTGAATCACTTACGAAAATGAATGAACAAAAAATATTTCCTTTGTCAATGAAATTATATAGATATAAATTGTTATTGATAATAAAAATATTTTCATTGATTAATTATTTTAAGCGATATAAGTCATTATTTTTCGAAAAATATTTTTAAAATCATTTATTTTCCACCAAATAAATTGAGCCCATTGGATTTTTTTTTCCAAATCATTAATTTTCTGCGAGACGAATGGAGCCTAAAGCTTGTACCATTTTTTTTGGCAACTTCCAACATAAGGCGATGACCCTCAGTCGCATTCCAAAAAATTAAGGGTTAATTTTGCGAAAAACCCCAAACTGGTACGCTTGTGACAATTTTACCCCAAACTAATTTTTTGACTACCAAAAATCCCAAACTGGTACACCTGTGACAAATTTACCCTCAATTTATTTCCGTTAAATTTTACTGTCAAATTGCTTTGTTAAATGACACGCGGCAATTGATGGATGCACCAATTTTATGTTTTACCCTCCATTTGTCACAGGCGTAACAGTTTATGATTTTTTGTGGTATTAATTCAATTTAATGGAAACTAACGGAGAGTAAATTTGTCACAAATGTACCACTTCAGGGTTTTTAGTGATAAAAAAATTAGTTTAGGGTAAATTTATAACATGTGTATCAATTTGGGTTTTTCATGATCAAAAAATTAGTTTATGGTAAAATTGTTACATGTGTACCAGTTTGGGGTTTTTCGTGGTATTAACCCAAAAATTAATTAGCTTATTTCTAAGTCTTGTGTTATTTTACTGGGTCAGCTCAGCTCTTCGGAGAAAAAGCTTTACGTTGACATATAACATATGAAGCTTCTAACAACTCTGGCAATCCCCCATAAATTATATTACTTGCATCTCATTTCTCTTCAAACTCTCTCTCTCTCTCTGTCTCCCTCCTGTCTCTGCGTTTGTGTGTGCGCGTGTGAGATTGTGTCTGTGGGTCTTTTTGCTGCTAAGGGCTCTTCCTCTGTTGCTGAGGCAAAAAATGAACGCTCTAGTAGTACAGGTTTTATCAAACTCTCTGGGTTCATGTCATGTGACTTGAGTTCCTTCTTTGTTTAGTTCTTGGCATGTGATGTGGCTTATGTTCTGCTTTCTGCTGTCCGAATCCAGGGTTTCACCAAGTCACTCGCCATGACTATGCTCTCTGAGGTTGGCGGCCGGACCTTCTGCGTAGCCGCCGTAAGCCATCGCGTCCCTTTTCGTCTTCTTGCCCCGTACCTGGAACTCGTTCTTTCATTGAAATAGTTGAATTTCCAAGTGTTCTCTCGACCTCGATCAAGTTCTAGGATGGCATTTCCTGCATAATGGCATGCTGATATTGCACATAATTTGCAATAGAGAAGGTTAAAGAGACCAAACAATGAATACACCAGACGACACCTACACTAGCACTTTAACCCATGTTGACCAAATCAATACATGATGCATCGACACTGATGTTTTTCCATGCCGGCAACATGCTCTCGGAAAACCCCGGTAATGTGTCACAATACGATCATTGACAATCCACAGTGGCAGCTGCAGTACGGTCATTTGAATGAATAGAGTTGAAGTTACCCTGTCACAGAAATTTGGTTAATTTCTCTGCCATTGACTCTGCTTCTATGCTATTGCAAACAAAATCAGAAATAGACCAGACATGAATGGACGGTTAATTTGTAAGGCTAACATCGATTGTTCTCTGCCTTCTTAAGATTCTGGCAATGCAATATCCGAGGAAGAGTGTCCTGCTAGGATGCCTAATTTCAGTAACTGTCAGCATTTTCTTTCTCATACTTCTCATTTTATGTTCCATTTCTTCACTATTATTTCATTTACAGAACAAACGGTTGAACTTTCTCTTTGTGATTGTGATCGAAATTTAGGCGAAGACCGTGATCTCGGCTATGGTTGGCTGGGCTGCTCAAAGTCTGGTCAGCATTACGATCGCTTCTCAGTGCTCACTGTTTCATTGTTCATTAGATGTTTGGGTACCTATTAACTTCATTTACTGAGCAGCTCTCAAAGAAATGGTCACATCATGTGACCGCATTCCTGTTTTTCCTGTTTGCTCTCCGGTCTCTCTGGGAAGGATTCACTAAGGATGATGAGTAATTCTTGCTCTCTTTTGTTTCCTCTCTTTTCAAGCCTTTTTTCTCTTCATTGTTCTTTCTTTCCCATCACAAAATGCTTTGTGGGTTTAGTTGTTGTAGCATGAATGCAAATTTTCTTTTGTGATGCAAACTACTTTTCTTTTGGCAGTGACAATGAAGAGTTGGAGGAAGTCGAAAAGGAATGGTCAGTGTTCTTCTCTTTCTCTCTCAGACATTGCTCCAATCCACTGTAGAAATGATCATACTTCTGCATCCTATGTCTCAACTGATCGTCCAAAACGCATTCTGTGTTGCGTGTTTCTTTCCCAGGATGATGATGACTTGGAGAAAAAACAGAAGCCTATCACCTACTTCTCACCTGTCTTTCTCAAGGTGATTCCTCCATCTAATGGTAAAAATAATTTCACCTTTCTCCAGAGAAATGCTATGGCTAAAAGAAAATAAATTCAACTTTATGTGGTTTGTTTCACTTAAACCTACATGTTAACACCCTCCCTAACTCAGGATAGCTGCTTCGCATGCGTTTTCGCTCACCTTCTTCCGCAAATGGGGCAACAAAAACCAGGTAGAAAAGTGCCAGCCAGAGCAAATCATGCAAAGTAGTGCCCATCTAAGTCTAAACTTATGGGCTCTGCATAACAATTTGGAAAAAGAAGAAGAGATATTTGCAATTGAGGAAGAACTTTGAGAGTATTCACTGTGCTTGACAATCTGGAAACTGTAAAATATTGCAGCTAGCAACGATCAGCTTGGCAGCTGGTGAGGACATTTTTGGAGTGGTGCTCGGTGGAATAGTGTAAGTATAATTGTACGTAGATATGCCTAATCGTCGACTCCAGATGGCAACTACCAAGTATTTCGTGTCGGTGCAGAGCAACGCAGTTCTAATAGTAGCTGCTCACATCATGTCACTATGCCCGCTATCTGAGCAGCTTAATTTGTTCTCTTCACCGCCTACATTGAATCTATTCCACCAGTGAATGCAAGCATCACTCTAGGACAAATCCTTCTGATTAATTTTTCCTCATTTTTTCAGGGGACAAGTGTTGTGCACAGTTGCTGCTGTTATTGGGCGAAAGAGCCTGGCTTCTAGGATATCAGAGAGGCTGGTAATTCACCTCATCTTGACTAGTTAAATCGGCTCACACATTCGTTTCTTTCTTCTAATGGGTCCTCAATACATTCACCTTTGTGCTTGTTGGTGCAGGTGACCCTTCTAGGTGGATTTCTCTTCCTAGTGTTTGGGGTCCAATCCCTACTTTGACCATCCTAAGTATGAATTTCTCACTCGCTCGTATGTCTATGCTGCTGCTTACCATTAGTTGAGACTGCTCTAGCGCTGATGCCTCGGTTTTTTCTCCGAGCATTCTTATGCTTTTAAGTACTTCCATTGATAAGTTTCATGCTTTTCAATTAACAGTGTGTATTTCACGATGATCTTTCCACATACAATCCCAGGAAACACAAACACATGCTCTCTCAGGAATCACGATGAAAATGCATATGCTATCCTATTCCTAGAGAAAAAAGTCAAACTGTAATGGAAACTCTCTTTACAAGCAGAGGTCATCAGCTAAAATTTTTACCACGGCAGTTACGAAACAAAAGTATGAAGTTAAAACGACATTTGTGCAGTGGCATGTCAAATCTTAAGAAAGAAATGCTGGAAAAAGCACGGGACACTGGTAGTTTGCACTGACCTAGTGAGAAAAGGCACGCGAGTAGATTCTTACAAACAAGCGGTGGCCTGGAGTGTCGGTTGGTTTTGGTCTTGTGACCAGAAACCTACCGGCTGCCACAGAGTGGATACCCAAATCCATGTGCCCAGCTAGATAAGCCAGTGAGCAATAGCCCCAGATACAGAACTTGACTCAGCACGGATATGACGATGAAGGCTTCAAGCGTTTGCTGCCCAATTAGCAAGTAGACTAGTCATAATCTTAGCAGATCTCACTAAAAAGTTCACAAGAGGTAAAAAGTTGTTAAAAACATGTGACCAACTTTCAACTGGGCTGAAAGATCTTACCAAGCGCTTTCCTCTCTGTCCTCCTAATATGATCTCTTTGATAGCAAGACTGCAACCACAAGCAACCAAGAAGAGGAAAAAAAACAGATGGAGATAGAGCAAATGTTAACAGAAGAACGCTCTGTGACTAGCAGACGCTTATGATCCACGTCTAATAAGTTCCTTCCTGTTAGAGATGGCATGGGATCAAAAGAATAATCTCATGTTCACTACGAACTAGATACATCACTAACAGCCCAAAGAGCTAAAAGATTTTCGAACCATACCAAATGGTCTCAATAATTATGGTGAATCCTATTGCGCATGGCGTGCATGTGACATAAATTACATCAACCTCCTTTTAATGTCCTTCCTAGTTATCTGCAGCAATCCAATAAGCATAACCTTTTTTCTCTCCCCTAGATTTCAAGGGTTCAAAGCACTATAAACTCATTCACGTACCAACACCGTCGCCCTTGCCAATCCACGCCATGCCTATATGCTAAAAGACTAGAACATAATGAACTTGAGTGGCGGAACTAAAAATCTAACAAAAACAGAGGAAGCAACTGTGGCTCGTTTCTGATAACAATAATAATATGCGATGGGAAAAACAAATGGTGCGCCTCGATTTGTCCTTCTGGTACTCCAGGAGCGATCAGAACCGTCATGTGAGGGTCTCATATGCAATGCCAAATAACAGCTTCTGAAGACTGAATACTTTTACATGACATTTAATGTCCCTCATAAAATAGCACCTAGATCTTTCTTCATTCTTCGTTAGCAAAATCACATACCCAAATGCGAGAGCTGTTACCGCTGATGTGACAATAGCCACAGAAGCCGCATTGGCCAGACTCTCATTCCGCCATGCTCAAAGGTGGGCGAAGCCAGATAGCACCGAACAGACACCAACACTCCCGACAGAAGAGCAAACATCAACATGAAGTTGGTCGATGGGTTTCCACCTAAGTCTGTTTCATCAATACTCGTTACACCAACATGGAAAAGCCAAAAGGGCGCAAGAAGAGCCAAAAAAACAGCAACGTAAGATGAAGAGAGGGGGAGGCTTACGAGGATGGGTCTGTTCATCGTCGATGTACTTGTCGAGAGACCAACCAGCGAGTCCCAGAATGATGAGAAACACCACCAGATTCACCACCAAAAGAGGTCCCGTCAGGTCTCTCCCTTCGACCATTTTCAAAGCTCAATCTCAACTATGAGAACAAAAAATTGGACCTGATCAATGGAGGTTTTGATTTTCCCCTTCTTTCTTTGGTTTTTTGGTCCAAAAGAATAAAAAGACCACTCGGCAGTAAGCAGCAGACCACAAAGCGGCAATCTGTAGAGAAGGAAACCCAGAAAAAGAAAGTTGCTCAATATCGTCATATGTTGAGGGGCATTGATAAATATAACTTCAAATGGTCGGTTTCTCTTCTTCCGTAACTGGAGCCAAGTCCTCACGCACTGAAATTGATATGGCAATGGTACTGCTGACTCTGTGCGATGATTCTTGACACGTTTTCTTGCATGCATTAACGTTCATGGATTCCCTCTTTAGGCTTGCCTTCTCTGAACAATTTCTGGCATTGCACCAACGCATCCCATCCCTCTTGTGTGCACATTGTTGCGTCGATCATATGGTGAATGCTTTAACATTTGTGGGTGTCTCACGCATGCTATGAATGCCATGAGACTCAGTGTTGCACATGCGGTAGGAAAATTAAGTAGATTTTACTTCTAATCCCAGTGCATCTATTTGAATGTTATACGAATGCATGTTGGGTTTCAAGAAAAGCTAAATCAAAGTCTACCAGCGGATGGATTTACACTATACGCGGTGGAGCCTTTGCTTGGTCATCTGAAAAACAGTCATGCATTGCACTGTCTTCTATGGAATCGGAGTATACCGCTGTGTAATTAGCCAGAAAACTCCTTCGCATCCTGTTACTATCTGTTGTGACAATAAGGGAGAGATTTACATAGCCAAGAACAATAACATTTCATATAAGACAAAGCATATGGCTTTGAAGTATCACCAGAGGCGAAGCCGTGTTATCGAGTACATGGCAACCAAGTTGAAGTTGGCCGATCCTCTTATTAAGAGATCACTTATGAGATTCACGTCGTAGCCTACTCACTTTTTATACTTCGTACAACAGAGAATTCAAAGGAAATCTAAATAATTGTGATGTGTAGTAATGTTAATGCTGAGGCTACATTTTCGGTGCAAGTTACTTTGTGTTGGCTGGGTTCTCCTATGTGGGGCCAAGCTAACTTTAATTTTAAAAAAAAAAAGTTAAAAAACAAACAAAAGAAAAAGAGGAGCGGCTGTTTTGGTGTGTCCAAGACTGCTCACACCTAAATTTTGTCTAATTATTTATGGTTTAATTGTATAAGAAATTAGAAATTAATTTTTAATCCCTAAATAAAAAAAAAGGGAGTTTCGGGCCGGTCTGTCCGGCCCATTCTATTTTCTTTCCTTTTTTCCCTTTTTCAACTGGGCCCAGTCCATTTTTTTCTTACTTTTTTCCAACTTTGCTTTCTTTTTGTTTCTTTTTCCGCACGGGCCGGCCCTTTTTCTCCTGGCCTAGCACGTGCACTGTTTCTCTTCCTCCCCCAAGCGTCGTTCCAGCTCTCTGGAACGCTGGTATAGGGAAGGACAAACGATAGAGGATGCAGAGAGACAGAGGGGGGTGGCAGGCGACTGCCCAATGCGATCCGGGGGTCCGGGGCAGGCCGGCCGCGAGAGGGCCTGGGTGGGCCTACCGGCCAGCCCCTAAAAGGCCGAGTGCTCGTCGCACGCGAGGGGGAGAGAAATCAGCACAGGGAGAGAGAGAGAGACCGGGAGAGAGAGGGAGATTGAGAGCGAGATCTGAGATTGAAAGGTCTTTCGTCGGTGACCGCCATGCCTCAACCGCGGCTGGCGACGCTCCGACACATCCCATTTCTCGCGGAAAAAGTCAAGGTAGGTCTCAGTCTCGGACCCTCGTTGGAGCTCATTTTTTCGGTTTGATTCACGGTCGGTTCCCCGAGGATTCCGGCTCGGAGGCGTGCAAGGCAACCGGACATAGTCCGATCCATCAAGTTTGCCCTTGTTCGCCGCCGCCGAGCCGATTAGGGACGACGCCACCTCTTCCCCTGTTTCGACGCCCTTGCCTTGTTTTCGGGCTCACTGGCCGGAGCTCGTGGCCGTCCGGCTCACATGAGCTCCGGCCCGTGATGTCCTCATGCTCGATTCTGCTTATCTATGCATCTTATACGTGAACCTTGGATGTGTTTGAGTCTCGATCGAGCCAGAAATCTCTCGTTTTTATAGCGTACCCCAACTGTTTGATGTTATGCTTGAGTGAGATCCGTAAGTTGATTTCCTTTGTGTGTGATGTGTTCCGAAACCTTGGTGTCTCTCCCTTCACTCGTGGTATTTTGGTTGCGTCACCGAGCTTAGTGCAGAAGATCAGTCCGCCTCCTTTTAGTCAACTGTGTTGGTTTGTTGCCACCGAACGATGACAGTCCGCAAGGAGGCGATGTACGAGCAGGGGGGCTTGACTTGCCAAGAGACCGTCGGGGTTTGGTTGGCTTGGAATTGGCCGCCGGCGCTAGGGCCGGCTGCGGTAGGTGCGGTGGAGTGGCGTGCGACGGGGGCGAAGGAGGCTCGTGGTTCGGGCGACGTACAAGCGTGTGACCGTTGGCGAAGTGGCTGGCCAGTCCCTCGTCGTGGCTTGGTCGGTTTAGGCTCGGTCGCCGGCCGAGTGGCGGCCAGACCTTCGGCATGGTGGCCGAAAGGAACGCCGGCTGATGGATCCGATGGTGGTAGGCGAAGCATCGGGAGGCGTCGGAGCGAGTCAAGTCGGTGGCCGTGAACTGGGTCGTGCGTGCAAGTCGCAACTGGGTAGGGTTTGGCTCTAGGGTTTTGTTTGAATGGGCCATAATAGGTAATGGGCCGGTGTGTTAGGGTTTTAGTTTTTTTTTGGGCTTTTGTTTTTTTTAATTTTGTTTTCGGGCTGGGCCCTTTCCTTTTAATTCTTTTTTTTTTAGTTTGCCGGACGGGGCTCAATAAATGAGTACGGTCCGGTGGTGAACCCAGGCCGGTGCGCCCGGGTCGGTCCCGATTCGAGTCGGATCTCCATATCCGACCTGAGTCCATTTAAATATTATTTTATTATTTTAATACAGAAAAATTATTATTATTTATTATTAAAAATTTCAAAAATTAAAAAATTGGAAATTGGGCTTTGGAATTGCCCCTTTTGCCCTTTTTTGTGTGTTTAATGCCATGCTTAATTACACGTCACTTGCTTTGCACGTTTTCATTGTGTGTTCAATTCAACTTTGCGTGTGGTCAATTAGAGATATGTCAGGCTGCTGATTGCGCATTTCCGATGCATTGGTTGCTACGTCTTAGCATAGTTAAGATTAGAACTTAGAATTCATAATTGGTAAAATTGCTGCATGAACACGTTAGGTGGTGATTGAACAAGATTAGGTATCGAGAGGGTACTAATTGGTTAATTAGTGTAATCAAGTCCTCGAACCCTTTGAATATTTGGTTTGTAGAAGTAAAGCAATTCTCCCATGCTTTACTCAGGTGTCTAATCGACACACCAAAAACTGAATAGTAGCGACTCCTAGATGAAATTGATTTGCATGTTAATAACTTAAACCTAAGTCGCGATTTGGTATGGACTTGGGAGAGCCCGAGCTAGGTTTAACTTAGTAATCCATTAGCCAAACCCCCAAAGTGGTGAGACCGGTTTGGGGAGGTCACGAAAAAGGACCAAGAGAGAAAAGAGGAGAGACAGAGCACCGAGAAGAACGAAGGAGAAGAAGGAAAAAAGAGCTTAACTTTGCGATCCCAATTCGAAGGCAAACATTATCGAAATTGGTTAAAATTCCAATTTGTTATTTGTGAGATCGAGAGCTATGAGTTGATTGGTTTCGTTCATTAAGAATCTTCTCCAAGTTGTCTCTCCTTTTCTCCAATCCCGGTTAGGGTTCTTGCTTCATTTGTGTTAATCCACCTTCAAGGTGATGGAATATTGTTGTATTATTGATGTTGAGTCTCTAGTATGTGACTAGAGAAGAACCTTTGTGTATCCTACTATTTTTCGTAATTAATGGGAGTTTTTGGATCATCCTACATTGGGTTTTCACGTAAAATATTGGTGTTATTGTTGCCTTTGTCTCCTTATCATTTCGGCTTTATATTTACATATTTGCGAGGTTGTATTGCTAGAATATATTGCTGGTTGTTACTAGGATTAAGTCAAATTTGGTCGGTTTAGTTTTGGAGAAGATATTAACCCTCAATTGGGTTGGTTCTTGGTGAATTGTTGCTCGTTCTCCCCA